ATGGGTGAAATTTCATGGTGTGTGGAAAAGACTTGATCTTAGTGAATAAGTGGAGAAACAGGAAACAGTTAAATATTATTTTATTGAAAGTTTATCAAGAAATTAAATTGGATTAGATTTGCTCAGAGAAATACTTTTTCCTCTATCTCTTTTATTGAGAATTATAAAAATACTTTCCTGTTATAAACAATTGGGATGAAGTAAGAATGTCCATCCTCCCTTTACCCACCCGAGAGCTACTTTCCTTCCCTATAATCAGCTGTAGGTATTTTTCATAAAATATGTTCCAGATAAAACTTCAATAGTGTACTCGTAAAAATGTTTAATAAAGTGAAGTTAAAACTCCCCCAAGGTTGTAAAAAAGGGAGAAGTTCAAAGATGAATGTTAGAATCACCGATGAGGACAAGTACGCCGTGCCTTGATGGAACAGCTCCCTTTGTCCTCCTTGGCTGTCCCTGAAATGCTGCTGTCACCTCTGCAAATCATCCCTGCCTGGCCTTGCTTTTCTCTCCTCCCCCCTCTTCCTGCCTCCCTCCCTCTCTTCCTCTTTCCTTTCCTCTACCAATTCTTCCATTCTTCCTTTGCTGTCAACACCTACCAAGCCCTGTCACACGCCAGGCACCTTGCTCAGACAGACCCACCTCAGAAAGAGGATCCAAGTGGAAATGAGCACAGCAAGATGAGCCCTCCAGTGGGTGTGTGTCACAAAGGTTTGGTTGTGTGTGTATCTAAGCTCAGGACGCGCTTCTGTTAGGAACATTGCTGCTTGAACCCACCCAGGCCAGCATTGCCAAGATTCCCAACTGTGACCAAGTGACCGACTGTGCTCCTACTCCTCTCCTTTTTGGAGAGCGGGGGCTGGGGGCCCTGGAGCTGGGGGTGGACTCTGATCACATGGTGCTCAGTGGAAGAACACTTGTTGGAATACTGTCGTTGTTTTGGGTGGAGTTGAAATTCTTTTGATTGTCTTATTTTTAGTAGGTAGAAGGTGAGTTTTGTAGGGAAATAAGTTAGACAAGCTCTGGAGACATCCCTTAGAAATATTTCTAAACTGGGTATCGTGACACAAGTCTGTAATCCCAACACTCTGGGAGGCTGAGGCAAGAGGATTCCAAGTTCAAGCCCAGCGTTGGAAATGTAGCTCCATGCAAAGACCTTGGGTTCGATTGTTATTGCAAATTATACAGAGGGAGGGATGCTAAAGGAAATTCACATTCAAACCCTGTGGGACTCGAGTCTGGATGACACAAGGGCTCCTTGCACTCCTCTAAGGCCCCGAGGATCTGCAGTGTGAGTGTCACCCCCAGGCAGTTTTGACCTTTGAGCAGCCCTGGAGCCTGGGCTGCATGGGGACATATGACCCAAGCAGGAGTGGGTTCTGGAGGGCAGGGAGGAAGGAGTGGAGGGAAGGGCTCTCCGGGAGGCGGGAAAGGGAGCCAGTTGGCTCTTTGCTCACTCTGCACTGTCCCCAGCTCAGCTCTTCCTCTCCGGGCCCCAGCCCCAGCCAGCACCCCTAGCCCAGGCCAGGTCCACCACCGAGGACCTCCTGGGCCGGCTGCCCAGCACCAGTGCAGCCCCACGTCTGTCGCAGAGCATGAGGGCCCAGCCCTGTCTCCTAGGCCCTGCGGGATGCAAAGGGCTTCCCTTCACCTCCGTTAGCCCCAACAGTATGCACCTAATAGATCTGAAGCCCCCCAATTCCAATCTCTACATTTATTTTTCAAGTATAAAGAGGGCAAGATTTGGAGAAAAGAGAACCCCTGGGTGGAACGAGGTACTTGTCTCCCATCCTCAGCCCTGTCTGCCATCTCCCCCAGCTCACCGAGGGCTCTGAAAGGTCACCAGAACTCCAGGGCTCTGGGTCTAGCACACAACTCTCCCTTTGGCTTCAAAGAAGCCTAGTTTCAAATGCACTTGGAAATTAGAGACCTCCATCCACAGAACACTTTTTCTTCCAGTTTTAAATTCCTTCTCTCCTTTGTGGCAAGATAAAAGTTAAATATTATGGCACATCTGCACTTGGATCCCACCACAGCTCCCTTTTCTTCTGCCTTACTCCCAGCACTGGAAATGAGGCCAGAAGAACGGACAACTTAAGTGAGAGTGTTTTGAGAAGTGCAAAGTGCTTGCTTTTGGTTTTCAAGGGGATTGGGCAAGTGCGTTAGAGAACGTCGACTGTGCTTATCACCATTAGTGTTATCATCCAAGTGACAGCCCCCTGCAAGTAACACAGACAGAGCAACGACGCCTTTGCACATTTGCCACGCCACACCGCTGGTCCTTCTGGGGGTGGACCTGGACATTGACTGCCTTCTGGTGGGGCTGTTGAACCCACAGACAGCCTGTGGTTCAATCGGAGCCTCAGGAAAGAGCATCTTTCAAGGGGCAGGGGAATGATAGGAAGGTTCTTCACTCAAGAGGATGCTGGATAGCTCAGAGCCAGCAGGAAGAGGAAGGTGCACATTTTAAATGTACATTTTTTTTTTTTTGAGACAAAGGGTCTTACCGTGTAATTCAGGCTGGCCTTGAACTTGGGGTGATTCTCTTGCCTCTGCCTCCCCTGCGCCACAATGCCTGGCTTTAAATGAACTTTTAAAAACAGTTGTAAGCAGGCTAGAAAGAGGGTTTGCTTTTGTTTTCAATTTCTGATTTTTTGTTTTTAACACAGAGCTAGGATGCACTCTCTAAACTGCCAGACATTACATCTACCAAACCAAACAAAAGGCTGAGCTGGGTGTGACTGCACATAACCATAATCCTAGCACTCTGGGAGGCCGAGGCAGGAGCATTGCAAATTTGAGCTCAGTCTGGGCAACTAGCAATTCAATGAGACTCTGATTCAAATTTTTTTAAAAAAGAAAGGCTGGGTATGTATTCAGTGCAAAAGCCCTTGGTTCAATCCCCGGTACTCCAAAGAAAAAGAAAAAGAAAAAGAAAGGAAGCAAGCAAGCCAGCTGAAACAAGAGGCTGCACAGCCCCCCCCATTCTGGCCCCGCCTCTCCGCTCCGCTTGGCGCAAAGCCGGCCTGGGCCGCTCTGGCCTCCGGGAGGACTTGTTCTCGGTGTCCGGCGGCCTGCGCGTGCCGCGGTGGGCGGGCCTGACGTGGGTCGCGACGACCTCCTCAGCTGCTGAGAGTGGTCCACGGCGCGGTGGGGTCGCGGGGCGTGCTGAGTCTGGCGTCCCGAGAGCGTGGAAGCGCCCTGAAGCAGCCGGAGAAGTGCTGCTGGGAAGAAAAGGCTGTGCGGGAGTACTGACGCCAAACAGGCCCGGGTCCCTCAGTACACTGACTCTTCATTTGAGTCGGCACATTCGCCTACAGATAAAGTAATCTCAGAAGCTGCAAAGGCAGAACAGGAGCTGCCCCGATATTTCTTCAGAGAAGAATATATGCTGAACGACGCCATTGGGAGTTGCTGTCTCAGTTCACGGACAATTCCGAGTGGCTACTGAAGAGTCTCTTTTTGCAATGCCAGAAACAGGAATAGGACTGTTCCCTGATGTGGGTGGAGGTTATTTCTTGCCAAGACTTCAAGGAAAACTGGGTTACTTCCTTGGACTGACAGGATTCAGACTAAAAGGAAGGGATGTATACAGAGCAGGAATTGCCACGCACTTCGTAGATTCTGAAAAGTTGGGCATGTTAGAGGAAGATTTGTCAGCCTTGAAATCTCCTTCCAAAGAAAACATTGCAGAAGTCCTAGGAACCTACCATACAGAGTCCAAGATTGATCGAGACAAACCTTTTACTCGCGCAACATATGGACAAAATAAACAGGTGTTTTTCAGCCAAAACTGTGGAAGAGATTGTTGAAAATTTACAGCAAGATGGTTCACCTTTTGCCTTGGAACAGTTGCAGGTGATTAATAAAATGTCTCCAACATCCTTAAAGATCACACTAAGGCAACTCACGGAGGGGGCCTCGAAGACCTTGCAGGAAGTATTCACTATGGAATATTGGCTAAGTCAGAAGTTCATGAGTCGTCACGACTTTCATGAAGGCATTAGAGCTGTTTTAATTGATAAAGACCAGAGTCCAAGGTGGAAACCAGCTGACCTAAAAGAAGTGACTGATGAAGTGTTGGATGATTATTTTAAACCACTGGGAAGCAATGATTTGATTCTTTGAAGTAACTGTTCTTTCAGAATACTGCATATTTTGGAGCAAGGGTTGGCAAAGTATAGCACGTGGGCCAAAGCTGGCCTGCTGTCCATTTTTATCTAGCCTGCAAACTAGGCATGGTTTTCTATTTTTAAATGGTTGGGAAAGAAATCAAGACTAATACTTCATGACATGTGAAAATTGTAATAGCTCAAATTAATCTTTATGGGAACATAGCTGCACCTTCTCCTTACGTGTTGTCAGTGGCTGCAGTGAGTACTGGCAGCAGGACGTGGATGACCTGCAAAGCCTAAAATCTTGACCGTCTCATCCTTGTGAGAAAGTTTGCCAACCCCAAAAGGGGAAATCCTAATGCCTCTGAAGATTAAGTAGTTATATCTAATTGAATTAGGAGCTTTGTTTAAGCAACATGTAAACCAGTACTGAAAGCTAAATACAAACTTGGGTATAGATTATAAAAAAGATCTTGAATTTTGGGGGAGGATTCTGTGTAAATGCTCGATAAACTTTTCTTTGAGTATATTTTTCAGTAAATTATTTTACCAGATGAGTTCCTTTTATAATCATGAGAAATCATGGGCAAAGACAGATGTGTCTGTGAAATCATGTCTACAACACATTACGTCAGCCTTGGCCTGACCAGCATGGCTTCTCGTGGAGAGAGAGGATCATTTTTTGTCAGGCGGAGTATTTGCTAGTGGGGGATTAATAAACTCCAGTCTCTAAGACACACTCTGCTGTTTGTAATTTAAACTTTTGTATAAAAAGTTAAAAGCAGTTTAAAAAACCTTCAGTAATTGGTACAAGTGTTTTTTAAGGTATGCAAGAAGCTTCAGGTTGTTCCAGGCTTAGCATCCTAAAGTCCTAGGTAAGAATAATTTCTATGTTAAAGGTCAGTGTATTGTTTATCTGTAACTTGTTATAGCACTTCCACCCAACCCTGAGAAACTGCGAACTTTAGGTATATGAGAACAAAAATCCTGCAGGGATGAAAGGGCATCAAGGTGACAGCCTGCATCCTCCTTACAGATTCGAAGATGCAGCCCAGGAGGCATTGCTTAAATTTTCTTTCAGAAAATTCAGGAACAAAGTTGGAATAAAGATGCTATGACATGTTTACATTTATATTTTTAAAACTCTCAAATTGGACCTAAATAATTCAAGAAATTACATAAATGTTGATTCATACAATGTTGAAAAAATTTGCTTCAAGTAAATAACTCATAGGTAATTACAACTAGAATTTATTGTACATTTACAAAAATGTACTCAAAAGTATTTGGAAAAATATAACACTTGACAGCTTGCCATTACAGGCAAGGGGATTTGCTAACAGAGGCTGTTTTGTAAATTAAGACACAGGTGACACTCCTGAGCAGTGCTCACACGGCTTGCTTGGTCATTACAGAGCGAGGGCGAGGGCATTTTGATTGAACCATATATTTTTTCAGAACTTTGCTTTTAAACTACTGTTTTCTGACATTACTTATGTGTCTCTTAACCTTGTGATTTCTGAAACTTTGCAATACAAGAGTAAACTTCCACATCACCTCAAAAAAAAAAAAAAAAAGAGGCTGCACAGATTATCAGGCTCTATCTGGCCCTTAGCCTCCACCATCATACCTGGAACCAAGGCCAGGCGCTCACTTTCAGTCCTGAGACAGAGGTCTGGGGTGTCAAGGGAGAGAAGCCAGTAGCGTCACTCTCCAGCAACGCACGCGAGTCTCTCCTGGGGCCTCCTGGCCTCGCTACTTCACCCCCAGCCTTTCTCCCTCCCTCTCCCTGCAGATGCTGACATATTGAGTTTCGCCCTTTTAAAAATAGCTTCTGCAGCAGAGGAGGAGCTTTCCTGACCCAGCCCCGCAGGGCAGCCTCCCTGCCGGCTGCCTGAGGCAGCACCATCCTAGACTGAGTTTCCCTCCACTCGACTCAAGATTTTCATGCCACCAAAGCTGGGCCCAGTGGTTTGAAATCCCCCAAAGGGCGACTCCTTTAGCTAAGCTCTGGCCTCCTTCATCCCCTTAATAATTCATCTGGTCTGTCTTCAGCAGGACCCTGATGGCATCTCTGTCACTTTCTTAACAAAAACCCCTTGAAATCCCCAGGAGCCACGCCACCATCCCGAGCTGCACACAACTGTCCCAAGCCCAGAATGGATGAGGCTGGAATGGACCCGCTGGTCTTGGGAAGCCAATGTGACCTGGGAACTGATGCACTTCTTCCTTGGAGCCCCCAAAGGTATGAAGAAGACAGCAAGTGGGGAGACACACAGGACCTGGAGGCTCTCCCTCGCCCACCTGTGCTTCCCGTGGCCCCTTGCACCTCTCAGGTACATCTGTATTCCTGGGGGGCCTCTGGCTCCCTAAATTTGACCCCCACTTCAATGACTCTGATCAGATCACCTGCTTTCCTGCAGAGTGAAGCCATGGTGTTTGTGCAAGTCCCTCTCTGTCTAGAGGAGCCCCTTCACCTCTTCCCCCATTGCTTACCTATCCGTACCCCTCTCCACTCAGATCTGTTGACAGTAGCAGTGACTTTTTATTGAGTGCATTCTATATGCCTGATACTCTCCCAGCTAGGGATTGGTGTCTGCATTTGATCAAGAAACAGGCTCAGAGAAGTTAGGGAGCTCTCCGAGGTCACACAGCAGTGTTGATGGGCAATCTTCGATGGCAGGTTTTTCTGGGAATGTGATACTGGGAAGAATGGATGTGCTCACGCACATGGGAAGCACCTAGCAGGGAGCCAGGCACGTGACAGTCCTCAGGCCGTGGAGGCTAGCATGGTGCACAGTGGGTCGTATGTGTAGACACTTTTGGCTCAGAGAGAGTTCAGTCCACTGATTTGATTCCACTTGCAAATCTAGGCACAGCAGAGATACCTTCAATACACAATTCTGGGAAACTCAGTGGGATGCAAACCCAGCAGCATCTGTAGGAAGTCAGCCATCCAGATCTGCCCCTGCCTCTCCCCAGGATGGGCTTCCTGTTAGCCACCCACTATCTGAGGGGCAGTGTTCCTGTGTCCCTCGGCCGAGCTCGGCAAGGTGGGCCTCACCTCCTTCCGCTGGCCAAGGCCTTGCTCTTCGGCCCACTTACGATGTCCCTCTGCCTCCTAGAGACCTCAGGGTCTGCCTCCCCTGGCCCCTGGCTCGGTGGGTCTATCTCTTACCTGAACCCAAGGTCCCACCTCACACTGGCATCCTAGCGCCCAGCACACAAAGTAGTAAGGGGCCACTGGGTGGGCCTCAGGAGAACCCTGCTCACCTTGGCCAGGCTGACGGCTGTGGAGTAGGGGACTCAGAGCTGCTGGAGATGTGTTGTTCCCCCAGTCTCTGCCCCACTCCAGCTCACCCTGCCCTAAGTGTATGTCCTCCAGATCCAGTCAGGGCTCTCACCCTCCTCTCCCTCGGGCCACTTCCTTCCCAGAGGTCTCTGTGTCTGGTCAGCCAGGCCCATGGTTTTGGGTGGGGGTTAAGGAGGGCATTGGACCTGGGGCCTCACACATGCTAGGCAAGTGAGCTGAGCTGCATCCCCGGCTCCTTTTATTATTTTATTTTGAGACAAGGTCTTTCCCAGGCTGGCTTTATACGTGTGGTCCTCCTGCTTCAGCCTCCCGAGTAGCTAGGATCACAGGTGTGTGCCACCACCCCCAGCCAGGCCCACTCTCCATATGTTATGTAAAGGGGAGCTGGAAATCAGGACAACCTCCCTGTCTGCTGCCTCGCTAAGGAGGTCAGGGACCTGTCTTTGCCTGCTCACACTTAGAGGTGGCACCATGAAAGCACAGAGGTTTAGCATCTGTATCTCTAATGGTGTGGCCTCCTTAGGGCAGCTCCCTACACGGGTTTGGAATCAGATGGGCTTCGGCTCTGCTGTGTGTCCACTGGTTACCTCAGCCGAATTCACTGACCTTGTTGATCTTCAGTGCCTCTGTCTGTGGGAAGTATTTATGCGAGGCATGAGAATATACTTAGCATGCTGCCCGGAGCATCTGAGCTGGCGCAGTGTGGCTCCCTGCAGTTGCTCTTTCTCCATCACCCCTACACCTGGTGCATGTAGGACTGAGCCCGTGCCTGTGGCCCCTTGTCTTTTCCCAGCTGAGTCAGGGCAGAGAGGCCACACGGCTGGGACACAGAAAACCATGGGAAGATGTGTAATGTTTTACGTAGAATTTTAATATTTAATTTCATTAATATGATTTAATATTAATATGAATAAAATCATATTTATTTTATTTAATATTTAATAGTTTCTCTTACAAATCTTTTTTCATTTTTAGCTGACACACAGTAATTGTATATATTTATTGAGTGCAGTGTGACAATGCAGTGCATGTGTAAGATGTATAATGATCAGATGGGATACTTGGCATCCCTGTCACCTCAGACATCATTTCTTTGTGTTGAGAACATTCAGAATCCTCTACTGGCTATTTTGAAAGATTCCACTAATTGTTGTCAAACACAGTTATCCTACTGTGCTGTGTAACATCAGAAGTTACTTAATTTCTCCCATCCAACTGCCCCATTACCTTTAACCCTCCTCACTTTGTCACCCCATACCCTTCCCAGGCTCTGGTAAACACTATTCTAGTCTCTAATAATTTTGTTTTTCTACATGTGAAAGTAATTTCTAAGAACTTTTGGAAAACATGAAGGACAAAGCCACCATAATCCCATTGGGCCAATACAATAACTCTGCCCTTTACATCTTTTTCTCCTTCAGCAATGTTCATACAGTTGTGCTCTTCATGTTTATACATGTATTTTAGCTTAAACATCATAGTCATGGGTAGTTTTCTAGGTTGTAACCTAAACTTTGTAATTATCATTGTAATGGCTAGATCATATTCCATTGTGTGCATGCTTGTGTCATCATTTATTAGGATTTATTGGGAACCGTCAGGGTTTTTATAGCTACTTTAGTTTTTGTAAATTTCCATGGAATTTCTTGGAGACTGGTAGGTTGGCCATTCCCTAAGCCCTCTGTGAAATATCTGAATATGATTAAGAGTCACAGCTCTGCAGGAGGGAGCATATGGGTGTAAGGGACAGCACAGGCGATGGGGGATGTGTGCCCAGGCCGTGACAGTGGCTCCTCCATTATGTATGTGACAGCTTTGAGGGGGTGGGGAGAGCCACCGGTCTTCCCATGGCACTGCCCAGCCCTCGACTTGACCCTTGGAGGGTTCCCCTGGGTGGACCCTTTGTCTCTCCACCTAGGCAAGGGCTCCCATTCTGGGGCAGCCTGTTACCGTCCAGCTCCACTCTGGCCAACACCAACTGGTCGGATTAGCTGTTTTCTTCCTCAGTTACACCTCTGGCTTGTACTCTTGCGTAACTCTTTCTGCACTTGCCACATTCTCTCCAGGAGACCAAGAAGTACTGCTGGAACATTTTTTTTTTTCATTTATTGAACAAATATTTATTTAACTCCCACTATGCACCTAGTATTATTTTTCTAGGAGTGGGAGACAGAATGCTGAGCAGGTCAGACAACATCTGATCCTCATGAAACCTACATTGTAGTGAGGAAGCCAGACAATGAATCAGGATAATTTCTGATAGCAAAAACAAAATATATGATATGAGTAGCTGACAGCAGGGAAGGATAGCTTAGAACTAAGATCTTAAGGATGAGTCCTGTCACCTGGGGACAGGGGAACAACAGGGAGACTAGTGAGGAGGCTTTTGTTGTAGCTCAAGAGAAAGGGTGGTGGCTTGATGAGTGGTAGTGAGGATCTGTCTGAAAGTGGAACTCACAGGACTGTGGACAGACTGAGCATGGAATGAGAAATCACAGATGCCTCTTACATTTTTGCCCTAATAACTGGGAGGTACTCAGCTTGGGGATGCTAGGGTAGAAATGAATTTGGTTGGAAGGGACTGGAAATTTTAAACTTGAGATTCACATCCAAGCAGCACTGATCATATGGGCAGTGGACAATGCAAGTCTGAAGATCAAGAGCCAGGTCGGTGAGATGAGCTGTGTGAATATATACACGAGGTAGAATACACACACTTTGAAGCCACTGAGCTGGACAATCTCCAGAGAACAGGGCAAAGGGGCAGAATAGAGGAAGCAGAAGTCTATGCTTCCCTGCTCTATGCCTTTTAGAAGCCCAGCCAAGGAAGAGCTGTCCAAGGGAAGGAAGAAGGAACAGCCAGTGAGGTCTGGGGGAACTAGTGAGAAATGGAGTCCTGGGAGGCTCTGGCTGCAAACCTCTCATACCATCCTCTTTCTCAAAGTAGGTTGAGAACATATTTTCAGGGTGCACAGGCTGTGTGGCTGCATGCTCATGGCTTTCCCTCCCCTGGCATAGACCTGATTGGTTGGCTGGCTCCTGACCTGAGAAGCTATCTGTGTCCCACTATCTCTGCCATCAAGGCAGTTCTCTCCAGTGCTCAAGGCCCCACCCTGGCTCCCATCCTCCTGCCTCATACCCTTCCCTCCCAGCAGGGCTCACCCACTTTGTGCCACCTACACGGCATGAGGCAAGCTTATGCCTGCCTTTCTTCTGTGTCCTGCTGCTTCCCCTCTTGGAGTGTGCTCTCTGCTGACCTCCAAACCTAAACCCTACTTCAAGGCCAGCTCTAGGCCCACTCCCAGGTGCACCATCTGCTCCCATGTTGGTCCTGGACAGAGCTCCTTCCGGGCTCACCTCTCTGGGTTTCACTTTTATCCACAGGGTCCCAATGTCTAGCGGCCACCCTCTGCCTCACCCTGCTGTCCATTCCAACACCATATCCCAAAGGTTCTCCCCAGAAAGACCTTTTGCATCCTGCTGCCTCTCTCATCTCCACCCTCACCCTGGCCGTGGGTTCGCCGGGAGCCACTGAAGCCCCACCTCAACAACAGCCCTGCCCACTCCCGTCCTGTGAGTGACCTTACTCATGCCCCTTCTCTGCTTAGTACTCTCTAGGTAAAGCACCAGGCCCCTACCATGGTCTCTGAGGCCACACATGACCTGCCCTCCCTCCCAGTTGCCTCCCTCATCCCTCCTCATTCTGGAGCTCAGACACACATGCTCAGTCCCCAAACATGGTGGCACTTCATGGTGGCCCAGTCGAGCCAGGCTCTATCCACAGTCTGGGAGGCTCTTCCCTGTGGCCCCTGCAAAGCCAACTTTGTGTCTTCCTTTAGGCTTTGGCTTACAGGCTGAGAGGTCGCCCCCGATACCTCCTTTAGACTAGACTAGAACATCTCCAGTTGATGACGATGATAAATTGCTTGCATTCATGTTCATTGACTATCAAATATATTTCACTAGAAGCCAGGCAACAGCCTGGGCCACATCAATTTTCATACTCTGAACCTACAGCATAGT